TCCTTTGGCCATGTCTGTAGTGTTGTTTCCTACCCCACCACCTGATCAGAGGCACGTGATCATTGACACCTTACCGAACCCGTGGCCTTGGCAGAGAGAATTATAGAACTGGGAAGGATAGGTGAGCTTGCCCACAGCGCACTCAAATGTTTCAGCTGGAGAGGTCCTGGGTTTCAGGTGACGTAGAGATGCTGTTTTCGGTTGAATGAAAGTGACCGTTTCAGAGATCTTCCCAGGAAAAACTGGCCAGGCAGTGGGACCATGAAGGTAAGGAGCAGGCAAAGGGGTGCTACCAGAGGAAGTCACAGAGCGGCTGGCTTGGTAACCCCCAGGGGAGCCTGGATTCAGTGTCCTGGAGGGGTTCACCGGAGCTACCGTATTTATACCTCTGAATCTCTCAGCCACTGGGTCAGCACTGCTCCCAGGGAACATCCTGCCTGCTGTCCGCGCACACAGGCCAATGGATTCCTACAGCCTTAGCACAGTCCCCCCACGAAGAGACACTGGCTCTGGCCTTAGAAAATAAAAGCACACAGGCAGAGCTCAGTGCAAAATGGAAATGTAGGCACCCATTTTTTTTTAAAGCAAGAAAAAGATGCCATTAGAGGTACTGAAATAAAAGCGTTCCCCTTTCATCCACAGTCTCTCTTTTCACTTGTCACAGCTTGTTTTTTTTTTTTTTTTAATTTGCTATTTCATGCCGCTCTGAGAAGAGGGACATTTAAATTTTAAATTATTAGCGTGAATTTTGCCTTTCATCTCTACATTGTGTGATGCCGGTTGTAAATGCAAATACAAGAGCGTTTAACTCATATGCTCATCGCCAGAATTACCCAATTTGCATATTTTGTTCTCACCGTCAGGGTGGAAAAGCTGCGCAAAACTAACTCAGCTGCTTTTATGTCATTTCTTGATCACGCCCATTGTACTAACAGTCGCCACCTTTGGCTTAGAAGGTAAAGAAGGATAAGAAGGAAAGGAGCTCAGGGTTAGCGAGTACAGGGACGTAACGTCAGTACGAACGGACGAAGGGTATTTTGGTCATTGGTATGTCTTAGCATGTCATTCCTTTCTTTCTGTGTTTGAAGCAAGTTTTGGTTCGGAAGGAAAGTGTGGCCACTGGGGGCGGCCAGTGTCCCGCCCTCTCCCAGCTTAACCAGTGGAAGACCACTAGTGGTGTTCCTTTTGAATCGCCAAGAACTGCCGCACATGTGGGTCCACTGGAATCCCAGTTCCCGGCGAACACGCTACAAGCACGGAGTCATGAGAAAAGGCAGACACTCATATTGTATGCATCTCTCGTGTTCTTGTGCGTGCTCTGTTGTCCCATCAGAGTTCACTTACAACATACAAGTTCAAAGAAAAACACTATTAAGAATTTTAATATGGTGGCAACAGAGCCTTTAAACCCAGCCTGGGGTCCTTCTGAGAAGGGTCACACATACCATGACGGTGACCCGGCAAGCAGGAAGACAGCATGTACGAAAATGCTAAAGAGACCCCAGGGCACATGGGTGGAGCCCAGAGAAAGAAAACTAGGAGGCTGGGCCTGCACCCAGGGGAGTTAGTGCAGGAGGAGTCCAGAACAACCAAAGAGACTGATTCTCAGAGGTTACAGCCCTAGAGCACAAGGCATGTCAGGAAAGAGGAGACAAGAAGAGACAGGGGATCAAGTGGAGGGAACAAAGTCGGAGCTCTGGTTAGCCAAGACACAAGTCACTAAACTGGAGGCACGGGGAGAAGTCCACGAAACAAAGCCAAGGATCACACAGAGGGGCAAGATACCAGCAAAGGTTAACACAAACCAATGGCCATTTGGATCTGATCGCATCCCAGAATGCTGAGCACCCCAGTGGCATCCCTGTAAGCGTGGAAGGTACTTGTCATGGGCCTGCGAGGGGCAACCTCCCTCCCAGATCCTTCCCACCGCTCCAACCTCCTGGTAGAAAATGAGACAATCACTCTCTCACTCCTGCAGAGAGCAATTCCTTCCCCTTCACCAAAGCTCTAGGAATGCTTGTCCCCATGGCTTCATTGTGGAAACGAGCTGGAAACTGGCCCCGTGGAACGTGTGACATGGAACGCGGTCATGGTGACCCGTCAGTTCGCAGGCCACTGGGTCCCGTGGTTCATCCATAAGACTTTGCAATAACAGCAGCTGGAGACTGTCACTTGGGCGGTGTGTAAGCCACCTGCAGGCCTCCTTCTGTCATTCATGACTCAGTCATCTGTGTTAACTCACAGCAGGGTTTCTAAACGTTGGCAATATTCACATTTTGAGCCAGATAATCCCCTGTGTGAGCAACTGTCCTATGCACCATTAGACGGTTAGCAGCACACCTGACCTCTGCCCAGTGGATACCAGTAGTGTCTCCCAGGTGTGACAATCAAAAATGTCTCCAGACGTTGCCCCGTGTGCCCTAGGGTGCATAATCGCCCTCAGTGAGTCAGTGACTTAGAGTATGTGGCCCCTGCTGAGGAACACACCTACAAAGACATCACTTTCACTATGTGCTCTTAGCTGACTTACTCCACCCTTTTTTTATAATGCTTATTTATTTTTGAAAGAGAGAGAGAGAGTGTGTGTGTGAGCAGGGGAGGGGCGGGGAAGGAGATACAGAATCTGAAGCAGGCTCCCGGCTCTATCAGCACAGAGCCCAAGGTGGGGCTCGAACCGACAAACCATGAGATCATGGTCTGAGCAGAAGTCAGACGCTTAACCGACGGAGCCACCCGGGTGCTCCTGACTTATCCGACTTGTCTGTTAACTTGCATCTTTTTTTCTGAAAGCGTCTCTTTAGGGTCTCATCTTCCTGAGAACACAATATCCCCCCCTCTTGGCTATGCTAATAGGGCCTTAGCTGGTAGTAAAGCCACGTAATGGATAAGTCTTCTTGTTCTTGTCCATCCAAAAGGAGTTACGTGAGCCGTTGCAAACTGCTGCAAAACATGCATCTCAAGGTCTGCAAAGATTACCGGAAGCTCACCATCCCTTTTTTTTCTCTCCCTTAGGGCATAGTGTACGAATGCCTGGCAAGACCTCTGTTTGCTAGCCTTGCCATATGTCTTATCTCATTTAATCCTCAAGGAAAAAGTATAGATAACTCCTATAAAATGCCATATCCATTTTTACAGATGGGAAAATGAGGCTGGCAGTTACGAAGTAACTTGCCCAACATCACCCCAGTCACCCCAGTAGTAAATGGATTTGAACTCCAGTTTTTTTGGGGGCTGCTAATCTAAGACCTTCTCACTTCTACCAATGCTTTTCAACTTTACTGCACATAGGAATCACCGGGAATGGGCAGGGGAGGGGTGTGGAGATCATGAACAATGCAGATTCCCAGGCCTTCTCCCACAGAGACTCAGAAGATAGTTTTAGGACAGGTCCAAAGAATCAGGATTTTAATGTTTATTTATTTATTTGCGAGACAGAGAGAGAAAGAGAGCTTGCATCAGCAGGGGAGGGGGAGAGAGAATCCCAAGGAGGCTCCATGCTGTCAGCACAGAACCCAAGGGGAGGCTCCAACTCATGAACCATGAGGTATGACCTGAGTTGAGATCAAGAGTGGGCCGCTGAACCAACTGAGCCAGCCAGGTACCCCTCCCCGCCAAGAACCAGGACTTTAAACAAGTGCTCCCAGTGATTCTAATGCAGGTGGTCTAAATCCTTGGCATTCCCTGGAATCATTGCCTACCCTGGTTAGATCATGAAAAGTCTGGATCAGCTCGGAAGTTGGATGTCTGCATACTTTAGCTTTCAAATAGTCTGGAAAACAAGGGTTATAAGACATCTCAGTATGATGTGTTTCCAGGAAAAAAAATGTTAGCAAACCATAAGAAGAAGAATATTTGGAGGGCTCAGTTCCCATTAGAATTCAGCAAATGCTCCAGAGAATCTCCCAAGGTTCAGATCTAGTTTAAGGGGGAAAAAAACGTCGGAGGCAGGTTAGACTTGCAGACTTGAGTTTCTGACATGAGATCATGAGCCAAATCAAGAGTCGGACACTTAACTGACTGAGCCTCCCAGGAGCCCCACAATTTGAGGTTTCTACACCTTAGTGTGAGTTTTGAGTCACAGTTTTCTATCTGCCTCAGACACGGTAACATTTTAGGCCTATTCTCCATTGCTGAATATTGAGGAATAGTAGACTTTATCACAGGGAAGGAATTTCCAGTCTCATTCTTATAATATT